GTGTGTGTGTGTGTGTGTGTGTGTGTGTGTGTGTGTGTGTGTAACTATCGGCGTCCCGTAGCACGCGGTAATGCTACCTATGACTTCATTCCTGCCGACTCTATCGTGGTCCATGGCGCTCACGAGAAGTGCCGTGTCTCTTATCTTATCAGCTGACACGATGAACAAGAACGACTCGTTGAACACCGGGTGCAGCGTCACGCGCTTCACCAGCGTCTTTTTCTTCTCCAACTTCTTGCCGTTCTGCACCAGCCATATCTTCACGTACGGATCTGCGAAGGTCGCGCATTGAGAATGTTAATTAAACTTATGCGTGGTACGATAACTTCGCACGTGTAGGCCTATTTGTGAGAGTTCCCATAGAAGATCTCGTGTACACGATATGAACGTCGCCCGCGTGCGAACAAAGGCATGAAATAGTTTACACTGACTGAAAAGTAGACTACCCAGAAGGAGTGCTAACTAACCCATTATTTTTGGCATCACAGCCGTTCTAGTCGATTCATTGTTAGTCTCGTAGAAGAATGCTCAATTACGCGTGTCATGTACATGTACGTTGAGCGTTTTCGTCGTCGTCGTCGTTGTTGTTGTTGTTGTTGTTGTTGTTGTTGTTGCAAGCTGTTGTATGCGTGCACAATATTCAGTACCATTTGCGAGAACTGCACGTTGCGTTTCTCTCTATACCTGACGCTGAGGTTGTTGTTGTTGTTGTTGTTGAAAGCTGTTGTATGCGTGCACAATATTCAGTACCATTTGCGAGAACTGCACGTTGCGTTTCTCTCTATACCTGACGCTGAGGTATCACAGGCATTATAACAAGCTCTCGAACACGCTTACAGAACTCGATGCAGAAACCTGTGAATCACACAGCTGGCACACGTGTTGCACGCGTTGCCGCTCACTGTTTGCGAACAGCTGCTGCCTACCTTTTGCTGATTTTCAAATGAATTTCGCCAATCAACGTAACACAACGGGCGACATAACGAGCATAATGGTAATATTGAGCACGCGTTTGTGACGTAAATGCATAACAATAAGCTACTAATTAACCGTCACGCATGTTAGATATCCACACCATAGTTTTTACATACCTGATGTTTTGGTCCCTGAGAAGTTAAAAAAGTCTTTGCCTTTGAGATTCTTTCCCTTTAAAACAGTAACGACCAGTTTGCTAGAGACCGGGTGGTAGCAAAGTGACATCAATAACTCTCCTGTCTTCTCCTTCGAAATCGAAAAACAAGCAACAATTAAAACGAGACAATTCATAGTTAAAATCGTCTTCAACACGACTCTGCACGTGACAGGTGCTGTCGCATCGCTGTTTCAGATGTCTCAAATTTATATATTGTACTAATGATGCAAATATCGCGCAATTATATTGTTCGATGTTCATGTACACGTAGAGATCGATAGAACGTAGAACGCAGAAATACACGCAGAAATAGATACAGAAACGACACAAACAGGTAATATCAAATGCGAAGTATGAATCAATGACGATATATAATTATATATATATATATATAAGGATCATACGAGCCCGTGTATGTTTGTTCGTAATCCAAAAACAGAACGGTACTCGAGCTTATGCGTAATGAAAAGTCTAGTTAGTAAAATCCATATATATATATATATATATATATATATATATATATA